GTATCAAGTTGGATACACCAAGTTATTTTTCCGAACAGGGCAGGTAATATGCTTATTATTTGAATTTTTAAACAAAATATCTTTGATTATCTCCATGTACTTTTTAACCATTGTATTCTGTGTTTCACTTAAGTATGGTATAGGAAAGAAATCTAGTATCAACAAATGTACCGATGAAGAATAAGATTAATATTTTAGGGTTATAATTTCCAGATTATGTTTTGCATATTAAACTAAGAAATTTTCAACTATAGTGATTTCTTTTTGTATAAGAATTTCTAGTTTATAGTTCTATTTATATCTAATATTGGTTTCCTTTACGAAAGGTGTAGGAGCATGAATTTTTTCTAATATATTCCAATTTATGCTGCTTTGACCACATCGCAGATTGGTGTGCTTGAAGATACTAGAAATCGTACCCTCCATGGCATTTTACGTGTCCAAAGTTGCTTCAGGGGTCACAAAGCTCGTTGTTCTCTCAAGGAGTTTCGGGGAGGAATCACTACTCTGCAGTCATGTATTTCCTTTTTTACAACCTCATTCTTTCAGCCTGTCATATTGTCTGAAGAAAAGTACAACATAATGCAAACATCTTTTTATTCATGCAGTTATTAGGGGAGACAAAACCAGAAAGGCATATGCAGCTTTACTTCGGAGACATAGAGCTGCTGTTATTATACAGAAGCGGATAAAAGCAGTACTTGCAAGAAATAGAATGAGGACTATTAGTGATGCTGCAATTGTCATACAATCAGGTTAAGAGTTTATATTTTATACATGCTGAGATATGTGTTGCCAATTTTTATTGTTTGGATGTTTGATTTAGAGCTTATAAAGGCTGTACACCTTTTTATTTATTTTTAAAAAAAACAGATGATTGGCTCTCATTTCTTTATCTTCTTTAAACAGATGAAATCAAAATTCTACTTAAAAGTATGCAAGATGATGATCACAAGTTAGCATAGGTGTTGCACCAAGTGTTTTGCATTCCAAATTCCTAATTTTTATTGTAGGAATGCAGTACAGGATAATTATACATTAAAAATGCTATATTTGTTGGAATGTTGACAGCTAGCTGTCTTTTCGATGGTATTGTTGGTAAATTTTATTTGAGCTACTTTTTGCAGTTATTCGTGGTTGGTTGGTCAGAAGATGCTCAGGAGACATTGGATTTTTGAAATCCAGAGACTTGAAGGTATTATTTTCCCAAAATTCAGAAACTATAATATCTGGCCTCCTTTTATTTTTTATGCACAAGCAAAGTTCTTATGTTCTGCTTGTTAAGCTCCATCTTTGTGATACTTACAAACATGAACTCCAAAACAGATGAAAGAGTCAGATGAGGTTCTGGTTAAGTCATCTTTCCTGGCTGAATTACAGCGCCGGGTACTTAGGGCTGAAGCTGCCTTGAGAGAGAAAGAAGAGGAAAATGACATCCTTCACCAACGTCTGCAACAATACGAGAGCAGATGGTCTGAGTATGAATTGAAGATGAAATCCATGGAAGAAGTGTGGCAGAAACAAATGAGATCCCTACAATCTAGCCTCTCCATTGCAAAGAAGAGCCTTGCTATTGATGACTCTGAAAGAAATTCAGATGCATCTGTTAATGCAAGTGACGAGCGGGATTACAGCTGGGATGTAGGAAGTAATCACAAGCGCCAAGAAAGCAATGGGACAAGATCAACGAGTGCTGGTTTGAATGTTATAAGTCGGCTGGCTGAAGAATTCGAGCAGAGGAGTCAAGTATTTGGTGATGATGCCAAGTTCTTGGTTGAGGTAAAATCTGGTCAAGTAGAAGCAAGTATGAACCCAGATCAAGAGCTTCGAAGGTTAAAACAGATGTTTGAAGCTTGGAAAAAGGATTATGGGGCAAGACTGCGTGAAACAAAGGTCATTATAAATAAACTTGGAAGTGAAGATGGTGCACTTGAGAAAGTAAAGAAAAAGTGGTGGGGAAGAAGGAACAGTACAAGGATGAATTGATTTTTTTATATATTATTTTTTTGGGTTCGGCTTTGGTCTATGCACTGTTTCAAGAGCATTGCCAACTATATATCCGAAAATGAGGAAAATACAATAGGAAAGGTAAAAATAGGAGTGGTAGGAAGAGTCCAAGGATAAATGAATTATTTATACTTTAGCTGGGTTAGTTGTTGCTAGCCACCATTATTAGAACTTTCTGTATGAGTTGTGAAGTGAGACGGATACTACAAACCTTTGTCATTCATGTATATTACGCCCATGTCTTTTCTGGAATGTGAATTTTATATCAAATATGTTATGGAGGTCCAAAAATGTAACACCTAGCACGCAACCCGGGCTTGCAAAAGTCATTGTAAAAGACTGATATTTATAGAAATTTAAAAATTGATAGTCTTGTGAATGTTATGAGATTCGATTGTTAGCTGAACTGATTGAATAATTATCTATTTTATTTGATGCATTATTAAAGTAAATAAATAGACTACAACTGTGACAAGGAGTGGATTAAAAACTTGTCCTATTTTGAGCTTCATTTGGGATTTGTATGTTTTCTTGTCTGGTCCAACATGTGTCTGAGCTCTGATTTGTTGGTAACAAAAAAGTGATAAGGTATCGGTAAATGCACTCTTGATGATTAAGTTTGTATCGAGAGGTTTGAGTATTTTATAATGTTATTTTTTATGTACTTTACATTAATAGGGAAAGCAAGAATCAGTGCCTAAATAGCACATTTAGGACAGTGATCCCCTCTGCATATCATGCAGTTCTTTATCTGATGGTTGATAATTTTCATAAGTTCTGATAATTTGACGCTAAAGGAGTTATGCTCTAGCGTCCTATGACTTGCTCAAGAGCTTTCCCAATCAACCCTATGGCATCATGTAATGGCACACATGGTAGACGAAGGACGGAATCTTGAGAAACCTCCCATTTGTTGTATTTGTTAGGGTCTAGGACATAATAAAAAGAACTATTGGAAAGCTTCAGCAAAAGAATCAGTCACAACAACATTTTGATATGTTACTACTGATGAAGTTGCTTAATCTAGCAACTTATCTACAAAACTTGTTATAATGATAGCTAAAGAATTTGCTCAATTTATTCAATGCTAAGACTGTTGCATCCTGTATCCTTTTATTCTCATTAAAACTTCCTCCAAGCCAAATTCAAGAACTTTGGCCACTTAAAACTGTTTTAACTTGAAGCGTGGCGAATATGTAGGTTACTGAACAAATAAAAACATATATACTTGTACTTAAAATTAAATCATGTACAAATAAATTTTTATTTGTTCTCAATTGAAATATATCCTTAACCTACAGGAACAAGGCCTTATAATACTCAACATGAAACTTAGTGTATGTGATGGAGAATTACTACCAAATCTCTTTGGGTACAAGAAACTTGTTGGTAAATTTAACTATCTTACTATGACATGTCTAGACATTTCGTGCCTGTTTGGATTCTTTTTTTTAAGCTACTTATAAGTATAAGCTAGGCCAAACAAGTTTTGGAAAAAGCTCTTGTAATGAAAAACTCTTTTTTTATAATGAAGAAAAAAGCTGAAAACTAAAATCTCCTTCTCCTAGGAGGAGCTTTTTTTTAAGCTCTTATCTGTTTTTCTTGAATTGTGTGCTTTTTTTTAAAATGAAGAGTTATAAAGACAGAGAGAGAAATAATTTTCTTGAAACATGTGTTTTTAAATAATTTTTAAACTAAATTTTTTATATAATTACCAAACAGTTTTTAGCTTCTTTTTTAAGTTTTTTTTTAGCTTTAGCTTATAAGTAGCTTATAGTTTAAGAATCTTAGCAAGCATAGTCAATTCGTTCATGTCTTCATCCCCTTGAGAATTCTATTGGATGATGTGTTACATTGGAACGAAGTCACGGGGAAGAATTTTTATGAAGACAATGGACATTGCAAAGTGGAAAGATATTCTAATGCACATTAAGCTGGATGTCATAGATGAAAATAAATTTATTAGGTAAGAAAAATGACTGGCAAAACTTCGAAGAAGAAGAAAACATTTTTTGAAAATTGCGCTAAAATGAGGAGTGGACTAGAAATTGAAAAAAAAAAGACATTTTATTTTCAAATTAATTTATTAAATATTTTTATTTTTATTCTTCATTATAATTTTTTATTTTCAATTAAAATTTTACCCAATTTTTTTTAATAATTCTTTTTAAAAATATTTATGTTTTTAACTTGGATACAAGTGATCACAGTGATGTGGTGTCCTGTGGATCAAAAATCAACCTTTAGCTATTATATCTTTCTTAGAATTTGATCTATTGAAATAATGAGAAATAAAATGTATACACACAATAGTTTAAATATAAGAAGCGCGTTAGAAATATATAATTAAAACGATCTTCATCTAATAACTTAAATTTTTAAATTGAATTAATTCTTTACATTTACACTTTCACTTTTTGTATTGCGAATTATCTAAGCTTTAGGGAAAAAAGTTCAATGCATGTTATTAAACTGTTTATTAAATAAGGCAAATGTACTTGGATAATGTACAAAGGGAAATATTTTTTATGCTTCAGGATCATCTAATAATTTGGTGCTCCCTCTCACAACACTAATTTTTTCTTTTATTTTTTATCCCTACTATTTTTCTTCTTTTCTAATTTTATCCTTTGATTTACACTAAGAGACCACCTAAAAAATGGTGGTCTCGGATCACAATAAATCCTCTTGTACAAAAGATGATAGAGCTTAGATAAAAAAGTGATTGACTGCATGATTGAAAGGAAAAAATATTTGTTCTTTTAAATAATATAATTTATGTTATTTTAGTCTTACAAAGAGGTAGAATCCTATCTTTGTTTTTTTTTTACACTCTCTCTCCCATGATCCATATCTTTCTCTTATTTAAAATGATACAACTTTATATCTTTTAAAATCACACACATTTTTTTCTAATTGAAAATGTACAAAAAGAAAAAAGAAAAAAGATGACCATGCTGATCTGTATGTCAACAAGTTGCGTCTAAATTTAGACCACTTTATCACTTGTTCCAGTTGACTCTCTCTCTAGTCTTTGACAATGGCAGAGGAGTTGATTTTGTTGGATGAATGGCTTAGTATGTTTGGTATGAGAGTAAGGATAGCACTGGCTGAAAAAGATACAAAGTATGAGTACAAGGAAGAGGATCTCATGAATAAGAGCCAGCTACTTCAGAAAATGAACCCAATTCACAAGAAGATCCCAGTTCTCATCCATAACGGGAAACCCATATGCGAGTCCATCATTATTGTTGAGTATATTGATGAGGTCTGGAACGATAAAGCTCCTCCGTTGCTACCCTCAGATCCTTATCAGAGAGCTCAAGCAAGGTTCTGGGCTGATTTTGTTAACAAGAAGGTAGGTTCCTAGTTTTGTTTCCCAACTCAATGAAACATCTAATTTCACCTTTTTCTAAGGAGATTCGAATAGGAAACTACTGTGTTCTTGATATTAATCCTTTTTTTTTTTTTTTTAGTAAATATCATTTTCGGTCGGTAACAAAAAAATACAGTCCTCGTTTTACTCTCATATACAAAAATTACCAGTGAATCAATTTTGTTAAAATTGTGGTCCCTCACAAATTCAATAAAGATTCACATTAGCCCCTCAAAAGGACTAAGATGAGTCTACTTTGAATTTCACAGGAACCAAGCGACTAATTTTATTTTTGTGTTTTTTTTTTTTTTTGTTATAGAACAAAAATGATATTTATATATATTTTTATTATTAAGGACTAAAGTTACATCAATATTGTATATAAAAAAAAGTTACATCAATATTAATTAATTTTCATGCGTTAAAAAATGCAGGTTGGTGATGTTGGGGGGAGAATATGGGCAGGAAAGCGAGATGAGATCGAAGTGGCAAAGAAGGACTTAATGGAGGGCCTAAAAGAATTGGAAGAGGTTCTTGGAGACAAGGCTTATTTTGGGGGTGACACATTTGGGTTTGTTGACATTGCTCTGATCCCTTTCTATAGCTGGTTTTATACTTATGAGGCATTAGGCAACTTCAAAGTGGAGGCAGAGTGTCCTAAGTTAATTACTTGGGCAAAGAGATGCAAGCAGAGGGAGAGCGTTTCCAAATCTGTAGCTGATGAGAAGGAGATCTACGAGTTTGTTGTTAACTACAGGAAAAGTCTTGAGTTGGACTGAAATGGCACTTGTGACAAAATATTGTGTGATGAAGTTTATTTTAGCTTGGACTTATTGGTTCTTGAATTTGGTTCAACATAGACAATTTGGTTTTTTCCTATTGCTGCTGGATATTTGCTTGTGTTTATGAGAATCGAAAATTTACGTTTGTTCCTAAAAATTCACAGGAATTCTGGTATTGCTTCAAGATTTCTTGATTCAAATATTCTCTGGTTGAATGTCTTGCAAAATATTTATCCTTATCTCTAATAACGTATACCTGATAAATTTTAACTCTCCGTAGTCTTAGATATTCAACTATTAAAGTCTGGGTACAGATGATTAGTACAGTTTGACTTGGCTGATTTCAACCTTATTTTCAGAATGGATTGGCTTAGCAAATATAGGGCTAAGCTAGATTGTAGGGAGCATAAGATATCACTTAAGGGATCAAAAGGAAAACACCTCTTTTATAAGGGTGTTGTACCCAAACCCTTTATTCAGATAGTCTCTGCTATGACTATTAAGAATTTCCTTATAAAGGGATACCCAGTTTATTTGTGCAACGTACACGACTTAACTCTCAAGGAGCAGATTGAGCAAATACCTGGAGTCAGAGAGTATCCTGATGTTTTCTCCGAAGAAATTCTTGGTATGCCACTTATAAGAGAAATTGAGTTTGCTGTCAATTTTATGCCTGGTACTGCCACTTGTAGTTAATTTGGATTAGATTTGAACTAAGAGATGTTGAATTATAATTTGGAAAATCATTATGTACTAGAGAAATTTATATAGAAATTTTCAAATATGATAATTGTGAAAAGATTAAATTTTTCTTGATTGTGTGATTGAAATAAATTAAGTCGTAGGAGGATAGTTTTTTATTTTTATTTATATTTATTTAGTTATTTTACTTTTTTATTATCTTCCTTTGGTTAACAACTGCTTCTATTCCCCAAATCGCCTTACCTTTTAGGAGTTAGCAAACACGGAGACCAGGTCATCTTAATCCCTAGGTGCTTAGAGATTATATTTAATTTGGTATAAGTAATCTTAAGCCTTAGGTAATTTAAGATGATTTCATTAGGATATTTTAATTAAATTATTTTTTTACCTCTAGAAATTTATTATATAATTATTTTAGTATAACTCTTTTTAAACGATTAATTTAGCAAATAATATGATAAATGCTGAATTATGATAATTAGATTTGGGTTTTATTCTTATAAATGCTGAATTATGATTTTGGAAAGTATGGTAATAGATTTTGGCTAAATGATGAAATTATGATTTGGATTAGATTTGGACTAATAGATGTTGAATATAATTTGGAAAATTATTATGTACTTGAGAAATTTATATAGAAATTTTTAAATACGATAATTGTGACAAGATTAAATTTTTCCTGATTGTGTGTGATTGAAATAAATTAACTAGTAGAGGATAGCTTTAGGATGGTACCTCCTAAAGTGATTAACACAACCTTTGGGCTTTATTCCTCCGATATATTTATGATGTGAAAAGATATTATTCGTTCTTCCCAAAGTGATGTCTGGCAGGGTTTCCCGGGATACTAGTAGCAACTTTAGAAAGAGGTGTGCACACTATAAGAGATATTTTACTGTTGGCCAATTTGATTATTTGTGACTGACAGAGTTTCCCGGGTCACAGGGTAGATTGGCAGGGTTTCTCGGGTCTACCATAGTTCTCTTCCCACTAAAGGAATTTAATAAAGATAATTTATAATAATTGATTTAATTATATATATATATATATATATATATATATATATATGACGAATATTGAAATTGTTATGTGATTACATTTTTGATTTGATTATTATATTTGAATTATATAATTGTGTTTTGATTAGGATTACTAGCTTTGCTGACTTTTGTGTTTGTTTGACCGCAATAATCCTTCGGGGGAGCATATTTTCAGTAAATCAGGTTGCAAGGAGTGAGGCCAGTAGTGGGCAGTAAGGATAACGACTCAGATAATTCTATCTAGTCTTGAAGTTCACAAATTTTATGAGATTTAAATAAAATCCATGAGACATATTTTCTTTGTTAAACTTTAGTCTTTGATTTTATTTAAATGTAATAAATTTAGCATTGCGCTTGTCTATAGTACAAATGCGGTGGTAACATTTTCCAAACTTGGTTATTTTAAATTTTGCAATTATTTATGAAATTATTGAAACTTTATGTTATTATAATTGTTAAAAATTTGGGGGTGTTACATTCTGCTATGTCTGCTAACCATCCTAAACATGTCTCTTGCCCTTTGAAGGCTCACTTGCTACCAGAGTACCTGAAATATGTTCCCAAATGGAGTGAGATATGAAATCTCAGTAGACTCAAGGTTTATGGAGAGATTCTTCGCTTATGAGTTCACTTCTTGCATGAAAGGTTAGAACACATAGTATAGGAGAAATCATATAGCTTGGTTCACATTAATCCTGAATACACAACTTGATATACATGAATTTTGAATACATAACTTGAAACACATGAATCTTGAATACATAACTTAAAGCACATGAATCTTGAATCTACTATAGGTTATCCCTTAGGATAATAACCTGAAACTAAATCTCAAATATCACAATATTAACAACCACTGAATCCTCCGAGGTTGTTCCAAAGAACAATTCCTCATGGAGACATCACATAATTCATCATGTAATCAATCAAATAGTTCAATCATAATTCCCGATCAATACTCGGTCACAATATCGAATCTTGCTATACGGTCAAATATCTGGTCACAACATTAAATCTTGATATCGGTCAAATATCTGGTCACAGCATCAAATCTTGATATCCGTATTTAACAACTTGCTTGTTATTCACATATAACGGCTTGTAAATCTTATAGATAAAGACTTGCTTGTAATCCCGTATATAACGACTTGTAAATCTCGTATATAATGGCTTGCTTGTATATCTTGAATTCAAACATGTGAGGTGTCCCTCATAATAGTAATGGTGACATATATATATATATATATATATATATATATATATATATATATATATATATATATATATATATAGGTAGGATCCTTTGACAACAGTGTCAAATTTGAAGTTTGACACCTCATCTGAAAACCGTTAGATCAAAAAAGATCAATGGTGTCACATGCTTACAAATCAGAGTCGTTGATCTTTTTTTATCTAACGGCTCTCAAATGAAGTGTCAAATTTTAAATTTGACACTGGTGTCAAAAGATCCTACCTATATATATATATATATATATATATATATATATATATATATAGGCAAAATGATTTCTGCAGCTGCTGTACCTACAGCAAGCAAGGATCCTCGTCCAGATCCTAGGATACGGTAACAGATCCTGAGTTTTTTTTTTTTAAAAAAAAAAGTCATGGGGCCCACTTTTTTGTGTCAGCTGTAGATAAGACTATCTACGGCTGCTACAGAAATGTTAAGCCCATATATATATAATATATATATATATAATATATATATATATATATATATATATATATATATACATTTACCCCTCTACTTGTCATATGATACAATCCAATACTCATCCATCATTACATAATTCATCAATACAAAAGTATCACATCATCTCATTTATCACTTGTCAATCAAATCAACTTGTATACATGTCTTATTCACAATTAGATCATCAAAAACATATATCATATAGTCACATGTGTATATCCTACATGAATGCAACTATACTAGTATCTAACATACACCAGTCATACAAACATAAATCAAAGTCTCATTGGACTATGGTGGAATAACAAAGTTGGAGAATACTCCTAAATCAAGAGCTTACTTGACAAAAGATTTCCTTCAAAAGTAACTTGAAATCCAAATCATCCTTTACTTGCAACTTGATCCTCCAATATCGAATCTCTTGATTGAACACTGAAGTCTTGAATAAAAGTATCATTAACCACCACTTACATGTTACTTGAAATTGAAGAAATCAACATATTTACATGTCAATTTCGAAACTAGCTTCACGGTGGCTCACATGATTATTCTAATACTTAATATTGTCAATTCATGCCATTAGAATAAGTCTTAAACATTTATATTTGATTCTATAATTTCTTGCAAAATAGGAACTACACATGAATACTAGGTCAAACTAGGTTTTTAAACTCACAACCTACTTGAAACATACCTGAATTCGCTTGATACATGATACTAAACACTAATTTGAAATTAAACAACATTCTTGGTCTTACTTCCTTACAATGGCCAAAACCTATACATGAAAGTTCATCAACTTTTCTTGCTCTCTTGCATCAACCAATTGACTTAATCAACATGAATATATTCAAGGTACTATAACCCTATTTCATGGCATGAAACCATATTCATAATGACCTAAAATCCTATATGGCCGAATAGGACATCTCAAGGGGTCAAGGTCTTGTTTTCTAATCATATACAGTTGGTCCAATCCACTTTAAAGTCAACAAAGATCAATAATCTAGATGAACATATAATAACCCTAACCTACTAAATGAATAATTAAGGATTTATTTTGATGATATGAAAGGTAAAATTGAGTTAATTATGTGATTTAGAGTATTTTGGCATTTTTTGATAAAAAGTGTAAATAATGATTTTTTCGGATAAGATACACTGCTGTGAAATTTACTAGTAGAACTCAAAAATGAGAAAATCCAATTTATGCCAAACAAGTCATTTTAGGACTAAAAATGTTTTATTTATTAATTTATATTTTTGGTAAGTTATAAGTTTTATGTAGTGTAATTAAGTGGTCAAAGTTAACTATTTTAATTTCCCACTTAAGTGACATGTCATGAGAGAGAAAACATAAGTAAAATTTCATCTTCTCCTCCCTTCCTCCTACACAAACAAGATTGTCTTGGTCTCCTAGGGTAAGGAAGTTTGTTTTCTTTTCCTTCCATTTTCATCACATTCTAGCCTTCAAATCAAGAAACCTCTCAACACAAGAATTGTTCCTTAGGATCAAAAGCCACCTATCTTTTCCTCTTGGCATCCATTTTTTATAGAGATATCCTCCTTGAATAGCCATGAAATACTATTCATCAAGTTTGTTATACTCACTGTCCACTGCTAGCCCGATTCCTTGCAACCTGATTCACTGAAACTCTGCTCCCCCGAAGGATCATTGCAACACAAAAACAAATAATCAGCAAAAGCTGGTAATCCTA